CGCTGACTTGTGTTGTATATGTACTGTATTCTGTGATATCTTTACCACCTATTGTCCATGTTAACTCAGCTGCTGGGTTACCATCGGTGGATTCACAGGTAAACTGTTTCGCTTCATTTTCATCAACTGTTACAACTGCATCATCACTATAGCCAACTATGTTTATTGAATCTATCCTATCTGAAGTACAAACCATTATTAGTATACCAGGAAGCATAGTAGTTAAAATAAATATATATTCAAAGAATTTCAAAATAGACACTAAAGCATTTAATATATGTTCACAAAGACTACATGCTTCTCATTATATGCAGAAAATTCATAGAATCTAAAGTTTCCAATGTGTTAAAAGTAATGTGGATAATACCACATTGTTTTCATAGACTTTCAAATTATTATGATAATCCTTACTACAATCCTAACAAGATATTTTATTCTACCAAATCAAGTATTTTGTACATATGTCATTATTTTTGTTCTTCAAATAATACACATGTATTATATTAATTTAATATGAAGACTTCAACTTACCAAGTACAGTAAGTGTTCCTACTTCCCCATCCACATTGCCTTCTAAACTGAAATAACAATCATACTGGCCATCATCGTCTTCTAAATCCACGTTATATATAACTAAGTCATATCTGTATGGCGCTGTGTATATAACACCATAATTGGTTGGATCACCTACATTAATATTAGAACCCTGGTCTGTGATTTCAGCTAGTGCACCGCTCTCACCAATTTTAATCCAGTTCACAGTTTTTGAAACTGACTGCCAGTCTATAGAGCAGTTCAAGGTTGCATCTTCTCCTGGTTTGGCATATTCTATACCAGTTGGTCCAATCAGAACCTGACAAAATACTAAGTATAATATAACGATATTACGACTATTTACTGGAAACAAAAACAACATAAACCATGTTACAAGATTAATCCATGACATGAAGACAAATATTTCAACTATTGAATTACAACAATTTATTTTTTCAATAAAGTTTGAATTAAATATTTTGGTGTTTACAATTAGTGCATATTAAGTGTGGGATTAAACTGACATTGATATCATCTAATAAGATAAAGTATTATAAATATGAATATTTGTGTCTGCTAAGATTTATTATATACTCTTATTGTAAGATGTGTTTTTGAAATGCTGTTACTTAACTCCTTTGCTATTATTACTGATTTTTGGTTCACCGATTATCAGGGTAATAGGCAGAAAATGAAAAGTGTCTGACTAGATTGAACAAAAAGAAAGTGGGATTTATATTTATATATTTATTTTTATCATTTATGATT